TAAATAAACTGTGGTACATCCATACACTGGAGTATACCTGAGCAATAAAAAGAAAAGACCTATTCAGGGGCAACCTGGGTGGCTCAGTTGGTTGAACATCCAACTTTGGCTCAGGTCATGATCTCATGGTTCATGGGTTTGAGCCCCACTTTGGGCTCTGGGCTGACAGACAGCTCAGAGCCTAGAGCTTGCTTCAGATTCTGTGTCTCCCTCTCTGCCCCTCCTCCACTCACATTCTGTATCTCTCTGTCTCTCAAAAATAAATGAATGTTAAAAAAATTTAAAAAAAACAAAAAAAGAAATAAGCTATCAAGCCATGAAAAGACATGGAGGAGCCGTAAATACATTATTTTTAAATAAAAGAAGCTAGTCTGAAAAGGCCACATTATGATTCCAAGTATATCACATTCTGGAAAAGGCAAACTGTATGGACAGTAAAAAGATCAAGGGTTGCCAAAGGTTCATGAAGGAAAGAGGGAGAGATGATAGGTGAAACTAGTCAAAACCTACAGAATGTACAACACAAAGGGTAAACCCTAATGAAAACTATGGACTTTAATAATAACGTATCAATATTGGTATATCAATAGTAACAAATGTACCAATACAAGATGTTAATAGAGGAAAAGAAAGAGAGATGGGCACTCTCTATACTTTCTGCTCAATTTTCTGTAAACTTTATTTATTTTTTTTTTTTTAACGTTTATTTATTTTTGGGGGGGGGGCAGGAAGAGACAGAGCTTGAACGGGGGAGGGGCAGAGAGAGGAGACACAGAATCGGAAACAGGCTCCAGGCTCTGAGCCATCAGCCCAGAGCCTGACGCGGGGCTCGAACTCACGGACCGCGAGATCGTGACCTGGCTGAAGTCGGCCGCTTAACCGACTGCGCCACCCAGGCGCCCCAATTTTCTGTAAACTTTAAACTGCTCTAAAAACTAAAATTTACTGGGGCACCTGGCTGGCTCAGTTGGTGGATCATGTGACTTTTGATCTCTGGGTTGTGAGTTCAAGCCCCACAATGGGTATAGAGATTACTTAAAAATAAAATGTTAAAAAAAAATAATAAAGAAATTTACCAGTAAAAAAAAACACTTTTCCTATGCTTTTTCCTGACGGTTTGGCCTTGACAAAATGGCTAAAGACAATCAGTTTGTTTTTGCCAGTGACAGGATGATGATTTTTAAGTTAATTTTTTTATTCAATTAAATTACACATATTCAAACTACTACTTTTTGAACATGTTGAAAGTAAAACTATTTTAGTTCTTATGATATAAGATGAACACAGAAAACTAATTCAAATATAGAATTTAAAACGCTTCTCATACCTGAGGAATTACTCAGCAAAAAACAAACTAATGATTCGATTTAATTTTACTTCAACCCTGCTGAGAACATAATTTCCCCAAACGAACTGATTATATAACTGATATTATGAGACACAGAAAATTGGTTCTGTGTTCAGATGAATTTGGGATGTGGTAAGTTAAAAACTAAGTAGTCAAAGCTATTTCTTTGCTGTAGGACTACTCAGAAACTTTGGTATGCTAGTATTTACTGGGAATTTCCAGAAGGGGAATATAATATATAGTAATTACCAGAAAATATGACCATGAAACCTCTTCCACATGGTTATCTACATGGAGTAGTATGTAGTATCGATAAAGAATACCAAAAGCATTAGGAAAGCACTGACAAAGAATACCAAATGCAAACACAAGGAAAATCAGTTTTGTAAAGAATCAACCCTAGAACACAGAAGTGATTTTGTTAAAGAAAAATTCCAGTTTGATCTAAGAGCAAGAAAAGTCCCAAATGAAGATTTCACTCATTAATCAGAAAACATTTACTATGTGCAAATCATGACAGTATAAAGAGGCCAGGACATACACAAAAAAATGCAAATAGGTGATCCTAACCAAAGCATAATACACAGTTAAAGACAAAAGTAGATTAAAATATCTGACTAGACAAGAAAGTATTTAAGTATACAATTTAGCCTCTATAGCAGAGTCACTAATTTTAGTAGAGAGAGAACATGATAATTGTAGTACTATGAAATTAAATGGTAGTGATATATACAATGGGCTGGAATAGGTCAAAACTGTTGAAATCATTAAGAAAAAAAGAAAGAGGGAAGAGATTATGTGAGGTACCTCAGAGGAAGTAATGAAGGCAAGACTATTATTCAAAAAAAAGATGAAAGTCATCAATAATGTATCCAAAAGTTAACTGTATTTTAATTTTCACAGATTACTGCGTTTTTGCAATCACTTACATTGTAAAACAAAATACTGAAAAAGATTTCAGTTTAAAGGAATACTTTCACAGCATTTGTGAATATCAGTTAATGCATCAGTATTCATACTTAGGTATTTAAGGTGAAAGCTGATATATAAAAATCACTCAAACTTTGTAGTAGAAAACTATATTACCTTTCTGACTGGCTTTAACTATCACTTCTATATGCTTCATTGCTGCTTTTAACAGTTTCTTGGTTATAATAGATGGAATATCCACCTGGAAAAATTTAACATTAAAATAATACTTTTTAACATTAAAAATAAAACGACATTAAAATAAAATAACAATTAAAATAAACAAAATAAATAAAATAACATTAAAATAAAATAATTACCAGTGAGTTACAACGGCAGGAATATTATATTTAAGATGCTGGAACACATGATCTTAAAAGTTAGAGATATTATTTAGAAATCTTTCAAAAATAATTTTCTTGGATCATACTAACTGTAACTTTAGACAGTTTTCTACCATGGTAAAGAAAATGTATATTAAGGGTGCCTGGGTGGC